ATTTAATACCTGATATAAGTGTACGGGTTTTTATAGGCGCAGTCTGGAAACTTTCTGAACGCACCTCGTAGTCGATATGGGAGAGGCCAGTGCATCGATCAGGATACGAGGACGATAGCGGTTTCGATTCTCTACAGAAAATTTTTGTTAGCCATTGTCATAATGCTAAATCGATCATTCTAGACTTATCACTGACTGACTCATGAGCTTAAATGTGTTCTCCGTGACTATTAATCCATTGGCTCAAAATATATACGTACCTTCCCGAGTCTGTGGTTACAATTCCTCAGCTTGTAAAGCACGACACCAGCAATGACCCCGACGAAGTACGGCGTAGCTCTGTGTTGCGTCCCCACATAAATGGTCTGAAAGTACGAACTGTCTCTGACATCCCTCGTGTTTCTGTAAATCAGCCGAAATTCACTATCAGTTTTCTCTAGCAGTAAAAGTTCTTTTCTTGGGAAATAACTGACCTTCGTGATGCTAAACCATGTTTCCTGTTTATGGAAACTAAATGTTCATCGTCGTTTTAACGAAATGTCTCAATTAGGCTCATTCTTTAGCTTAATGAATCCTTTCCCGGTCATAAGATCCATTCATTTTTCTTAATCCTTGTCTAGGTGTCCCAACAGAAGTCTCCATGACTCGCTTATCTTTCACAACAAACGAATCATTGATGTATAAGCCTCATTTTCGGATTTGTTCTACAGCTCTATATTTCACACCGACTGGCTAACAAATCCCTTTTATTTACAAAAATACTGTTTCTACGAAACACGAAATCGGAAGTCCCCAACACGACAAAATTCCGTCTGTTCGAAACTTCCTCGGCCCAGAATCCTCAACATATGTTGGAAAACGTTAATAGCAACTTCAGTTTGGTCTCCGGGAGACGTCATTTGTAGTTACTGGTTTAAGTCGGTACAATATGATCCAGGAACTTTTGTAACGGTGGTATTTCTCAGTACCTCCGGGTGTACCCCGACTGTGGGACCAAAGACGTCGGACCAGCATCCTATTTAATGAAACTGGCAAAGCTGACACGTGGGTATTCTTTTCGAAATGAGAGGCTATAGCATATTCATTTTTCCCGTGACACTTGGGTAAAGCCAATCAGAAGACCGCCATGTGACTAGGTGGGGAGGCTGATGTGGTCCGATTTCGGTGGGGTCACGTGGTACAGAAGCGAAATCTGTCCACACTCACAATGACACGTAAAAACAAACGTATCGCACAGCTTCCAATCTGTAACAGAATTCTTTGGGTGTAGATTGTCCTCCTATTGTGATTGTCTTTTGAATTTTGCCAGCGAAGGTCTAGCTTCGTAAGAAAGGAAATAAATTATAAATAATTTAAAGATGAAGGTAAAAATCTTGTCTGGTTTAGTTTGTTACCCCGGAAGGACTGACTGATCGTGCTATGAGGTGATCGAGAGGAGTCGATTGCGCAGAGACTGGGCACTTCACGAAAATTCTGAAAGCCACTCTGGAGTTAATATTTGCGTATGGACGATGAACACCAACACCCGAGCGATGACGTCATGATGACGCTTGCATCCTTGCAGAGGATAATACGTAATGACAGAGAATAATCCTTCCACTTTACGACTAAGAGCATAGATTTTAGGAAATATAGACGGAGAGCTAGTTCGGAGTAGCCTCCTGCGTGAAGTGTACACTAAACTTAAAGAAAATCTGTCATATCATATCATTTGAGGTTGCGTCGCGTTGGTATTGCCGATTGTGGGAAAATTACAAAGTTTCAGTTTTGTTTGACGTCGAACTTAACAAACCCGATACCAGGTTTACTGAAGATCCTCACTTGAGGTTTACTTACTCGGGATATGGGAATAGGAGTGCCTCCGCCTGATTCTGGTAGATGAGGACTGAAGAAACGACTACGGAGGTCGTCGTGAGTAGTCCAAGTGCCGCGTAGCCCAGGCGAGGCCAGCGCGCTATTATGGAGACGGCCAACAGAGAAACTATGTACAGCTGGAAGTCCGCCGCGAGGTACCAGGGACTGGAACATGCACTATAAAAAAAAAGGATACGTGATTCAATGAGAGTGCGATGTGTGGCCTACCCAAAAGGCGAAATGTACTTTCCATATTCGTTCTTTGCGATGTTATATACCGGTAGAATAGAAGGTACACATGCTTCTTGGTGGCTTAGGACGCACCGAAAAAATGAAGATGGTTGTTGGAGGTTCTTGCTGCCTCAATCATCAGGGATACAGAATCGATTGAGGTGTCATTTTGTAGCAAAGAAAACACATTTACCTTTGGGCTGTCACGAACATGTTCCAGAGATGCACGTGGATTTTCGTTGCCCCAGATTCTGTAGTTCGAGGTACCTTACCAGTGACATGAAATGTCGATTTATCACTAAAGATTATGTAGTCCAGTAATATTTCGTCTTCCCCTATCCGATGCAACATTTCTGCACAGAATTCCTGACGAACCACTTTATCCTCGTCAGTAATTTCTTGCACAATGGTAAGTATGTATGGTTTTTTTGAATTGAAAACGTTTTCGTAACACTCGCCAAACGGTTGGGTGTGGAATGCGAGTCTCACGGGACGCACGTCGCGTTGATTTCGCAGGACTACGGACAAAGCTCTCCCTCACTCGTTCCACGACAGCATCAGAAAGACGCGGGCGAAATGGAGATTTTTCATGGCGAACAGAACATCCAGTCTCAACAAAATTCTTGTGCCAAGAGTAAATTGTAGGTCTAATGGGAGGATCCTTGCCATACTGGGTGCGAAAATTTCGTTGAACCATTGTTTCTTCAAACCACAGCACACAGCGAGCGCGCTACGCGCTTGTGAATGCAGCCATTTTGAAATGCACTTCTGCTTGCGCTCGCGGTGACGGAATTCGGTACTACAGCACATCGTGAGTCAAATTTGGTTTGTTTTGCTACAAAATGACAACCCAACCGATTCTGTAAGCTTTCTTATCAAATTTCTGTACATTTTTAATCTGTAAATAACTTTTAGAATCACTCTGTATAATGTAAAATATATGATTTTTAAGAATCTAGACTAATTACTGTACATGATTAATTGAAATGTAAAACTAATGACATTATAGCACAAAACCTAGGAAACAGTTGACAATTACGTAATTTACTCACCATTTCACGGACGTTGATGTAGTTGTTGATATAGAGAAGGTTAGACCACCAGTTAGTCGCGCACCGCCGTTGCTCACGCCCCACTGTGACGTCCCAGAAAGGGCCAGATCCCATGTGGTGCAGGAGGGTGGCATGGAAGAACACCAACATCATATACGATGGTGTCAATCTGCGCAATACGCCACACGTCTTATGAATCTTTGACAGGTCTTCATCTCGTATTAAGATTTGTTATTATAAAGATACTTGAACACTTTTCTCATTCTGTCACCTGCGAATTATTCGCCGAAACACCAATGTTTCAGAAAACGTCTGTGCCTCTGTCAAAAGTGAATGATTAAATGTATAACTTGATGGTTAAGGGTACAAGAGATTGCGATGATGTCTCTGAATGTGCATAAAACTACAAATACCACTTAAACATCACCGTGATGATGGAAGGAAAAACGGTCTCCGAAACAATGGACTTCAGCTCCGATTAAATTCAACTAATCGTCAGAGATTTTAAGCGTCAAGTCCTATGAACGTACTGTTTCTGTGAAGTTACCACTTTTACACTAAGACGTTTATCTTAGAATTACATTTTTAGTCTTTATTTCTTATTAAACGGATGGATACGCTTTGGACCTACAGATGTGTGGGTCTCCGCGTTTCATACATTATAAATTAATTGACAGATTTTAACTAAATATCGTACGAAAGCCATGACAATATAGAGGCCAATTAACTATAATTGTAACATAACGATAATGCTGAAGTCTTCAGTTCCTGACATTTTGTGTCGTAATATCCCTTTGATATGAGCAGTTTAGTATTCTTATTCTAACCTGAATCCCTATAGCTTCATGAGGGTATAGTATTTTAAATTAGGCCACGGCCGCTTCCTTCTATATTCTTTTAAATTCATTACTAATTATAACACAATTTGATGACGTATAGTCTGAGCTTTAACGGCAATGTTAAATAAACTGTTCTACAGAATTTCAGACATTAAATCAATAACGTGATGCCGTGTACAGTTCTACTAAAAAGCTGATGGTCGGTCAGATGGTTAATAAAAGTCGTGTTTGTGCATTACGAAAGTTCATTGCATGGATTTCAGGAAACCTTCTCTCTTAAATATTCTGAGTCAGATGAATTGGGTTTACAAGTTCCCAACCTATTTTTTAAGATTTATTTTAATATTATTCTTCTCCTGTGTCCTCCAAATACTGTTTTGTCACTTAAATGTACGTTATGGATCTTGAATTTTGTCTCACAAATTTAACGTAGATAATTGGAATATGTACTTTTAGTGTGTGCTGTAGAAAAGTTTCGATTAAACTATATATAATTAGTAATGTATACGTCTTGTTAAACCCACTGTATAAATTTAAATTTTTGAAGGGAGTTATACCACGTATTTTTTACTCGATTTTTGTAAATAATTTATTAACCATTAATTATTCTAATCCCGATTAATTCAGTAATTAAAATTGATATAGGCCTGTGTTTGTGTTTGAAATTTATCGTCGAAATAAATAGTTTTCGTCAGTTTGCGTTGCGTCTGAACTCCATAGACATAAAGGTTCACGTGTCAGTACATTAAAGAGGAATTCAGCGATTAAATAACGTTCTGTGTTCGCTCCGTTCTTACACATGCGCACGGAGGATAAATGCTATTTCGGACGGTAATACCGAGCAGAGCATGCGCAAAGCGTGTTATCCACATTTCTCCCAGCCCCTCTACTGCAAGACACTGATGTTACACGAAGCGGATATTATAATATGTCATATTTGGTGCAATAATTTAGCGTATGATACGAGAACGAATGAGATTTATAGGCTTACAGTCAATTCAATTTGACGCAGTTTGTAACGACAACATCTCAGGTAGAGTTGTACTTTTTCTTACCTGAAGAAACGTACAAGGACCGGTTTTGCTAAGCTGATTCGTTTTGATTTGCTCTGGGACTCTAATAACGAATATGACAACAGTAATCCACTCAGGGTAAAGAAACCGTCTACAACAACCGGTCCATTACCCAGTAACATAGATGGTAGGCTCCGAAAAAGCTGTGGAACAAACAAAATATATTAGACGAGATGAAATATGTTGTATGATTTGAGGTTTTCACAGTGAGTATGAAGATTTCTGTCTTTTTGTTTGTTTTGT